AGTAACATGTTGCACCAGAAAGCACTGGGCCTATGTGAAGACTTCAGCAAAGGATCTCCTGAAACAGGGTTAATCCCTTAGTGTGCCTAATTAATAAATTAAACTTTATTATAGGTATGTATAGATAGGAAACATCATACTGTCTATTATCTATCTATCTATCTATCTATCTATCTATCTATCTATCTGTGGCTTGGATCTGTCTGTCTATCTATCTATGGTTTGGATCTATCCATCTATCCACCTACCTACCTACCTACCTACCTACCTGGGCTCTGGAATCATCTGCAGTTTCTGGCATCCACGAGGGGTTTTGGAACATATTCCCCACAGATAAGGGAAGATTACCAAATAACCAATCTCAGATTCTCCAAGGTTGGACACAAGGATTCGCTAAGAGTATAGAGGCAGCCAGACTGGAAGCCCAGGTAAGTCTAAGACTTGCCTTTCTCTCAAAGACTTTTTAGTTTCATCCTTGTGTGAGGAAAGAATGAGCACATTCTAGGAGTTCCCATCTTTTAACAAACAAGTCTCAAGTGTGATTAATCATCCACTCAGTCCTGAAGTCCTCTTCTCTCGTCTCTCGTCTCTCATCTTACGTTCCCACTCTTTCCTCAAATGAAGAAACAGTCTTCTTCATTCTTAATTGAAAGTCTGTAATTGTAAGTCCTTGGTAACTCCAAAGGACATTGGCCACCATGTTCTTAGAGGCAGAGACGGGCTCTTCTGTGATATAATATAATGCTTTAATCCCAAATTTAATTCTCCTAACTTTGAAGATGAAGTTTGAAATACTCAGCTTAGAATACTGAACCCACTCAGCCAGCTGGAGAGAAACATCCACTTGGCTTTCTCTACAGTGAAAGATTTTGGTGCTACGTACTCACTTCTGTTGTTTGGGGCTTCATAAAAGTTCCACCCTAATCACAGTAACTCAACATGTTACTGAAGAAAAAAATAAGCAAGGAAAAGCAGATTTAAGATTTAAGGGTTTAAGAAAAAGTATTAGAATAAACTGCTATCGTCAGTGATTCTGTTTTGTGGGGATGAATGCAAATATTTAAAAATCCGAGGAAAACATCAGAGAATGTATTATACTTCAGCTGGAAATCAACATTTAAAAACATAAAATGGAGGCCAGGCGCGGTGGCTCAAGCCTGTAATCCCAGCACTTTGGGAGGCCCAGGCGGGTGGATCACGAGGTCAAGAGATCGAGACCATCCTGGTCAACATGGTGAAACCCCGTCTCTACTAAAAATACAAAAAAAACATTAGCTGGGCATGGTGGTGCGTGCCTGTAATCCCAGCTACTCAGGAGGCTGAGGCAGGAGAATTGCCTGAACCCAGGAGGCGGAGGTTGCGGTGAGCCGAGATCGCGCCATTGCACTCCAGCCTGGGTAACAAGAGTGAAACTCCGTCTCAAAAAAAAAAAAAAAAAAAAAAAAACATAAAATGGAATTTTGTCCAGAGCTAGAAAAACCAAGTCTTTCTTTCTTCATTTACTGTTCAGACTATGGTAAATGTTCTTTATAACTGCACTTCTTTTCTAAAGGCTCGAATACATTGTTATTATAAAGTAATAAAATAGTACACACACATATTCATGTACATATTTTTTAAAACATGCTTTGAGAATGATACTTCCTTTTTCCCAAGGAAAGGTCAGGAAATAGACCAACAGTCTCCAAAATATTAACTAGTTTTTATTTGCCTTTATTCATCCCTTCCCTTTTCACTTGTGGGTCTCTCCTAATACTTCTGGTGTCATAGATGGAGTTCCTGAGAAAGTCTTAAGGAAAAACCATTAAAAGTGTAAAGACAAATGACAGGCTGTCAGTGGACGTGTACCTTTACAAGGACTAACAAAGATTCCCTGCACTTATGGCAACACTGTACCTGTCCTAACACTTCCAGTGCCACCCACCACCTTCACTCTTTATTTATCAGGAGAGAAGGGATTTTTAAATGTTTCCTGGGTGGATTCTCTACATACTGTCATGGAAATGTCCAAAATTTCCTAAGTCAAACGATGGTCATATTTTTTGTGAAAGGAAAGCAGTATATGTAAGTACACATCTGCATCTCTTCCCCCTCTCCGCCTAACATGTACACTTTCTATAATGATAGTATATGCATAGAAAAACGTCTGAAGGACTTTTAAACAATGTGGTGTAATGAGCTGACTGAGAAATGACACATAGAAATGAAGAATGCTGGCCGGGCGCGGTGGCTCACACCTATAATCCCAGCACTCTGGGAGGCCGAGGTGGGTGGACCACCTGAGGTCAGAAGTTTGAGACCAGCCTGGCCAACATGGTGAAACCCCACCTCTACTAGAAATACAAAAATCAGCCAGGCATGGTGGCACGTGCCTGTAATCCCAGCTACTCTGGAGGCTGCGACAGGAGAATCGCTTGAACCCAGGGGGCAGTGAGCCAAGATTGTGCCCCTGCACTCCAGACTGTAAGACTCCATCTCAGCAACAACAATAACAAAAAAAAAAAAAAGAAAAGAAAGAAAGAAAAAAGAAATGAAGAACGCTACACTTCCAGAACACAATAACTGAAGATTCTTCCAAGGCATTTGGAAATCCTTACACCATTTGGTAGGGGGAAAAAGATACTGAATGAGGTTAAACTTTGTTAAGTGTGCGTGTGTTAAAAATTCAGAAGTAACTGTTAAAAACGATTAGTGACAGAATACGTAATTTCCAAACTCTCTGGAGAGAGAAGTGGGAAGATAAAGAAAAATGGATTAATCTAATAAAAGGCAAGAAAGAAAAAGAGACTAAAAAAAAGAAATAGAAAACATCAAATAAGATGGTGGAAGTCCAAATGTCAGTAATCACAATAAAAGTTAAATTAAATTCACATACAGAAAGACATAACAATAGCCACGAACACTTAATGGGTACTTACTGCGTATTAAGCACTGTTCTTTACATATTCACTCCATTAATCCTCATATCAAATGCATAATATAGATGCTATTACTATCCACATTTTTATGGCTGGGGAAACTGAGACTGATAAAATCACCAGTTGGTAACTGGCAGAGGTAGTACTTCAATTATTTAAGTCTAGCTTTCAATGCTGTACTCTAAAAGGCTGGAAGCTTAGAAGTTCCATCTGGTCCATAAGCACATTATAATCATAGTTTCCATTTTGCTATAGTGTTCTTGCTCTTTTCCCTTTCTCCCTCTCACCTCTAATCCATCCTCTCAGAATCTGCAATCTTTCTCCATTCTCATACAAACATTTAAACATACTTGTATATGGGAGGGAGTGCTTTTATAAAAATGAAAACATACTATACTAGCAATATATGCACTTCTCTGGAATTTGCTTTTCTCTCAAGAACAAACATTAGACCTCTTTCCTGAAGAAGAGACATAAAGCTAACTTACCCTTTTGAAAGAACTACTTCGTAATACTGCATAGTCTGTATGAACACAATTTATTCAACCAGCTTTCAGATAGACCACTGACAGAGCTGGTCCTAGGATCGCTGCAACAGTTTGAGGGCACAGCTTCCCTAACCTCATTTTCACCAATTTCAAGTTAACTTTAGTTTACATTTCCTGGCAGAATGTTTTACATACACTTACATTTAATCATTACAATACTCCGGTGATTCAGGTATTATCGTCCCCAGTTTGCTAATGAGAAAACAGGGTCTCTGAGTTATTAAACAAGTTGCCTAAGGTCATATAGCCACAAAGTAGCTGAATCCAAAACTCCTGTTCTAAATCTTTACTCTGCTTTGTAAACCCATTTGGCACTCCTGAATGGGCTGTCTTTGGAAACATCTCGGCTCAGCCAATAAGGCTGGATTCACCTTTGCTCCATGGGCCATCTCTATAGCCCCAGATCTCCCTAGGCACCTAGCTCGGAGATCGAAGATGGTCTCACCCACCCATGAGCAGTTCGGAATAAAAACTTCCGACTGAGGAATCCACCCTTGAGCAGAGGCTGGTCGAAAGGGGCCCTTTTATCTCAGAGGTGTCGGCGACGCTCACACGATTTATGAAAATCCGAACTTAGAGAAGCCAAGATCCGCCAGGAGACCCAGTAAAGGAAAGGAGAGACATGGCGGGAGTACAATCACCGTCACTGCAACTCAACCAGGAAGCGTCTGGGCGCGATGCGACTCTTTCATCTCTAGCAGCTCCCACACCAGCAGGGCAAAGGGGCACTTACCTCCAAACCATTCAACTCTTTTAATCTTCAGATCCCTCAAACTCCTCACAGTTCACTATCACGTGTTAGGCTTGCAGAATTCTCTGCCCCCAACCACTACCTCCAGAGCAGAGCCAATCAGGGAGTACTGCGTCATCACTGGGCGCCAGAAAAAAGCAAAGCGGATATTAAAGAGAGCCTTGATGACTACGAAAGCGAGGCACCCGGGCTGTTGCTATGGTAACTGAGCCAACGCTAGCGGCCTGCGCAGAGCCTCTTGGAAGTCGTGGTTCGACGGCGTCCTACGCCTGCTTTCCGTGCGGGCGGAGGTACTACTATTATCAGCGCGACCAGGAAGCAGCTTGGGCAGAAGAGCGGTGGCTGCAGCTTTGGCCAAGGTTCGGGCTCGAGCTTGGAAAATGCCACTGGCGCCCCAGGAGAGGTCCACCCCAAAGAAGAGGATGAGGCTAAGTCGCTGGAAACTGTTCACAAGGAAGCCGAGTCCCAAGGTGATCCCAATCCGGAGCTTTGGAGGGCGGGGACCTTCCCAAGGCGCGGCGCCGTCGTGAAGCCAGTCGCGGCCCCTCTGCTTCGTGCCTCTTCCCCGAGGGGCACCCTTAGCTGAGATGCCCCTGCCTTGACCGCCCCAAAGCCAGCATTACCCTGAGTGAAGTGCTCTAGGGGCTCTGAGGTCTGAGCACATTACGGGTTTGGTGGGCAGCATCGTGGAAGAACTGTTTCTAACGCTTTTCTCAAACCGAAGGTGTCTGCTAGTGCCCATCAGTGTGAAAGGAGTTTGCAAATTCCGTGTCCCTGCTACTTTAAATTTTAGGAAACTTCTCGCGCATTTCTTCTTTTTTTCTTTTTTTGCAAATCTTTGGGAAACTGATCTTTATTAACGGGAGAGATCTTCACGTTAAATACCCTGAATATATTCCTGCCCATCCACTTTTACGTAGAGTATCTAAAATGAACTCAGGAGTGCAAGTGGATATTGAATATATTAATATTCGATTCACATAGAAATTTCTAAATTCAACCAACATTCAAAAAATAGACTCTCTCCATATCTATCACCATTTAGATGTATTAGCACCTGAAGATAAGAAAAAACTGATAACCCCATTTTGAACTTGAAACATGTGATATGTGCAAAGTCACAATCACACCGTGTGTGCTTTCCACAGACTACCTTTTTAACAGTCCCAAAAGTAAATGCTTTAAATCTAAACAAGAGTACTAAAATGGAGAAGCTTCTCAGCTTTCGACTCCAGAGCAGTTTCACCAGCTGTTTTCGCCCTTAAGTTACACTTTGCTAAATAATATTCTGTAGCTGTATGTGACCTTTGTGAGGGCCCCAGGCAATTGTTCTTGCGATTTATTCTAAATTTAACAGCTAAATGCATTGGACATATTCCACATGATAAATACATTGCCCCAGATACTAGAGGGCATAGACTGGAGCATTAGGGAGACTTGGAAACTGAGGCTGCTGTTATTGCAGTATATCAGTCGCATCATGGATTGAATCCAAAATGGGTTATGAATATGGACTTGATGAAAGGTAAAAATTTAGAAGAATTTCTTAGGACTCCAAAAGGAAGGATTTTTGCTTCTAGTGCTCATTATTACTGCCTAGAGGAGAAAAAGTAAAAACCTAGGGCTCCTTCAGGTTCAGTTGTGTTTTAATTGGATCAGCTGTTTCTTTGTTGCACTTACAAAATTGAGCAGTACAGCTGTGTTAATTAGTTATCAGTAAGATGCTTTAAAGGTAAAGTGTTAGGTAAGTGAAAGAGTAGTATATTTTTCCCACCTTGTGTCAGTATGCTAGTTTAGATACCCCCTTGTTTTTTTATTATTATTATTTTAAAGAACATATTTGATTAAGAAGCAGTTCATGAACTGGGAACACCAAAAGAGATTTAGTGCTCCAATGACATATCATCAGGATATCCCCTTATTTTAAAAACACATCTGAATTTTTAGCAAAGAAGAAAACTCTGTTAAGTGACTTTCAGAGGGAATTCTGCAAGCTTCTGGGAGTTTGAAGAAAGGAAGTGTCCGGATGGTGTTTTCTAATTTCAGATTAATACCTGACGGATCTGGGTGGAAATTTATATTTTCTGCTTTGTAAAACAGTATAAGTCAGATTGATTAACCCTCTCCCCACTCCCTGGTTTTTATTGAACCAAACAGTATCCCTGATCTAGGTAAGACGAGAAAGCCTGTTGCTACAGGCTACTTATGAAAGGACAAAGGAGAGGAACATACACTTCTTCAAGCTGAAGATGACTTGGATAATCTGGCTAAGTGCTTTTTTTTTTTTTTTTTTTTTTTTTATGAGTAGCTTTATATTTAGCATTTCTTTATCTTGACTCTTAACCCTAAGGAGCTTTAAAAAAAAATACCAATGCCAGGGTCCTATCCCAGACCAATTAAATCACAGTCTCATGGTGGGCCTACATAAGAAATAAAAACAGTCAGTGTCCCAGGAAGGCTTCAAGTTTTTTCCTCATAATGCTATTCTGTGTCATTTATTGCTAATCATTTCTAATGAAATGCTTTGGGGAAATAATAAAGGTCACTTTATGCCTTAGAAAGATTTAAATGGTGAAGTTGGTAAAGATATTGCTGCATATTAATATCCTATATGTGTTATCTACAGCCTGCTGTTGGTCCTGACAGTGTGGAGCACTGGATAAAGGTAAGGATATTTTAAATTTAGAATAAAAAGAGAATTAAGAGTCAACCATAATCAGATGGAAAAGAAATATGAATAGATCTCCACTTTGCACATACTCTACTGTTTTTATTCCCATGTAACTGTGTAAGTTGTCTTAATTTTATACTTTTTAGTATTGTTTTTATAATTCTGTTGCCTCTGGCGAAACCATTTAAGTCTGAATGACAAGAAAACAGGTGTGTAGACATCATTTCAAATGCCATGAGTATCACATGAAGAGAATTAAAGGAGCAGGGAAAAGAAGCCTTGGGAGAGGATGTGGTGGCCTTCCTCAAATGTTGGAAAAACTGCACTGTAGTTACAATCACTAATTGTTACGTAGGGACTAATGGGTAAAAGCTACCTGTGCATCACAAATAAGAATTTTCTAATGAAAAAAAGTAAAAACCTAGGGCTTCTTCAGGTTCAGTTGTTTTAATTGGATCAGCTGTTTCTTTGTTGCAGTTACAAAATTACTGAGCAGTACAGCTGTGTTAATTAGTTATCAGTAAGATGCTTTGAAGGTAAAGTGTTAGGTAAGTGAAAAAGAGTATTATGTTTTTCCCACCTTCTTGTGTCAGTGTGCTAGTTTAGATACCCGCTTATTTTATTATTATTTTAAAGAACATATTTGAGTAAGAAGCAATTCATGAACTGGGAACACTAAAAGAGATTTAGTGCTCCAATGACATATCATCAGGATATCCCCTAGAGCCGTCCAAAGTGGACTGGGCATTCTCATAGAGATGTTTTCTCTACCACTGGAGCTATTTTAATGGACTCTGGTCACTTAATGTTAGGTTAATGAACAATATGTTTGAGGATTCAGTGAAGGGGGAGAATTAAAGATGTAATGGAAGTATGTGGTGAGAGGCACTAATTTAGATGGGGTCAGAGAAAGCTTCCTGGCTACTGCAGAAAGCCAAACTTAGAAGATGACTAAAGTGGACCTACCATCATGAATGCTAGCCTCTAGGAAGACCACTCCTCAATATCTAGCAAGACCAGCTTGCATGTGACTGTTGAGAGTCCCAGTGCCAAGTTCCCGCAGGGCTTAGTCACATAGTTAGGTACCATCTCTTCAGAGGCAAAGATTTAACTAGAACAGGAAGATAAAATTTTGCTCTGACTTGTCTATGACATTGTCCTCTTTCATATAGTTTTCAGCCAGCTTGACTCTGATTTTTATCATTCCTCTAAAATTTCTGTAGTGGCTTTTTCTCCATTATGTCATCAAATCACCTGTCTTGAAAAAAATCAATAAGTCCTTATTTGACCCTGCAATCTATTCTGATTCCTGAACGGTTTCGTTTTCTTGTGTAATGTTTTGGATGTGTGGCCTGGACGCCTTGCCTTTGTATTTTTATTGTCCTCTTGTATCCACAGTTATTCTCGTACATCCTTATTCCTTACCATTCCACAGAAACTGTTGTCATAAATGATTTCCTGAACAAATCCCTTAGTTTTTTTTTGAAACGGAGTTTCACTCATGTTACCCAGGCTGGAGTGCAATGGTGCATCCCGTAGTTTTTTTTTGAGACGGAGTTTCACTCTTGTTACCCAGGCTGGAGTGCAATGGCGCAATCTCGGCTCACCGCAACCTCCGCCTCCTGGGTTCAGGCAATTCTCCTGCCTCAGCCTCCTGAGTAGCTGGGATTACAGGCACGCGCCACCATGCCCAGCTAATTTTTTGTATTTTTAGTAGAGACGGGGTTTCACCATGTTGACCAGGATGGTCTCGATCTCTTGACCTCGTGATCCACCCGCCTCGGCCTCCCAAAGTGCTGGGATTACAGGCTTGAGCCACCGCGCCCGGCCACAAATCCCGTAGTTTTTTGATAGCAAACGTTTTCAGGTTACATTTGATATAGTTACCACGTCTTTACTCTAGAAATCTCCTCCATGGTCTTTTTGTAACTCATTTTTTTCCCTGCTGCTTCTATGACTTCCTTGTTTACTTCTCTGTCTTCTTTTCTGATTTCATTCCTAACTCTGGTTGTCCCCTAAATAGTTACAACCTCTAGACTTAAGACTGCAAAATTCACCTGAGTGAACCACCCTTTCAAAATCAGCTGAGACCTCTTTATGTGAAAGGAGTGGGGAATATTTGGAAAGGGTGTGGAGCATAGTGAAAATTAAGAAAGGCCTCTCTCAGAAGAGAAAAGGAAGATTTCTCAGTAGCACTGGGGACCTGGCTGAAGCAGTGAACCATAATTTTTAAAAATTTTTTAAGTATTTTAACTAGAGATGGGGTCTCACTATGTTGCCAGGTCTCAAACTCCTAGGCTCAAGCAATCTGCTGGCTCAGCCTTCCAAGGGCTGAGCCATCATGCCCACCCCATAACTTTTTATGGTACCAAAAATTGATAAATCAGATTGATCCAGACTTGGAGGTTTTCACTGGAACAGCCAAGGAACAAGGGGTTTAAGGATG